TGCTTCAGCTCATTGCACAGTAGGAACATTCAGTGCTTTCAATTACAAGCTGGGTATTTCGATAGTGTTGCATGTTTTTAGCTGGAAAGTGAATTGGTTTCACTTCTGAAATTAAATAAACTTACTCAGAAGACAAGACTAGAGTATGTAGGCTTTTTACATTTGTAAGTCTATTAGAAATGAAGTTTTCTACTGATAACTTCCAGGCAGTTGGACTAGGTGATTGTTCTAGGTCCCTTTCAACTGAAATAGTCTGTTCTAACTACAGAAATACACCAACTGCTCTTTTCATCTTGTGTTTACATCTCAGACACAAGACCACAGTGGGGTTTGAGGTTTTTTTTGAAGCTACAGAAGTACACAGAAACTATGTACTTCACTGTAAAATGGCATAGGCTCTTAATAATGCTGTGAGAGAAGTTCATGTGTTTAAATATGGTTATATTTTGAATGAAAGTACAGGGACTCTACAGATTTAAATCTTCTACCATTAGTTTTTTTTAACTGTTCTTTGTCCCTGCTAGAGGCCAAATCTTCCTGTTGAAGAACTTAAAAGAACTTCCTGTTCTTTTAAGTGCAAAACTTGACATCGGTGGACTTGTGAGGAACCTGAGCAAAACCTCATCTTACTGCTGTAAATGAGTTGTATAGATGCATTTTTGTCATCTACCCTTAAATGTAACTGTGCCTTAGGTACTGCTGAAGTAGTAAGTAAAAGTCAGTATCTCTCTTACCACACAAGATGTTTTGTGGTTCAGGTTTTCGTTTGTAGTCACCTCCAGTTTAGTAATCTGCACTTAGGAATGTTTGCTTGTCCCCCTAAATGTGAAGTCCCCCACCCACAGGGGGGGATAAAAAAGTCTGCAAGGTTTAATTTCTCTCTTTAATCTTGATAACCTTGTTGGTGGAGGGAGTGTTAGTATAGCCTGGGCTTCTGCTGTAGCAAATGAGTGAAAACTCTCTGTAAACATGTAGGATTTTGGCTAGGTATTTCTGTCAATGTTATTATAGTGCAATACCTCCATTTGGCCATATACCTAGCTCTAACATTGTAAAGCTTCCTTTGTGTAATCCTGAATTGTGTTCAATCTATTCCACAAAACTGGTGTGGCACACATAGCTCTTGGCTCCTCCTGTCACGTGACATCAGATACTGATGTCTGGAAAATCCAGGTAGATTCAGAACACAGAGTCATCTTTAGCTGATTGTAAGAAGTCTCGTGCTTATTTCACTCAACTTCAGTGTCTTGTTTTCAGCACTATGCATGTCACAGCATAAGGAGTCTATCCACTGTCGTGTTAATGTTCTGTCAGATTCCTGGAGGTGAAAGAGCACACGAAATGAGGCAAGCTCTTCTTCAGTTTTATTTCCACTTATGTTTGGACTTTGGAGACATCAGCAGTAGAAAAAATCTTCCCACACAGTAGTCAGAACTAAAATGTAAACTAAGTCTGCTATGATAACACAGAACCCCAAAATGCGAAGGTCCCTAGGCTGCACCCATCTAACCTAGAGGCTTAGAGCTTCCTCCAGTTGTCAGTGTGTGACCAGGTGTTCAAGGCCAGGTCTTCCTTCAGTAACATACAGGTATAGGGAGGTTTTTCTTCGCGTTGCAGAATACCTTCCTTACAGAACTTGGAAAGCATCTTTAGTCCTCAGTAGGTTGAGAGTAGTGAGCTATCAATTACACCGCAGAGAAACAGAGCCGTAAGCTACCATGGTAGTTTTTAAAAACCTACCTTGGATTTGGTGAACTGAAGTCTTCCTTTCATTAGTTGTTGCCTGATCTATGCCCTATAAAAGTTCTTGGATTACTGTCTGCTGTCCCAGATTTTGTGGGTATGTAAGGATAGTTGAAATGCAGAGCTAATGCTAACATTCTGTGTTGTGCTCGGCTGCATCCACATCATTACCATTCCTGGCCCCTAAGCCACTTGGCTTATCTGCTTTCCTCTCTCTCTTCCAGCTTCTCATCTGTTAGTTCCAGCAACTGCTTTGTTCTAAGAGGAGAGATACATTTGCAGTACTCTGTGCAACAAGGCTTCCCTTTTTTTATCTTGTAATTGGCTTCTTATTGGTGTTCACATTTCTTTCCTGTTTGATTACAGGCTCAGTTCCAGAGATAATTCCCCTCAAACTATTCTCTCTCTTCCAGACTGGTACACCAGGCTTTGTGATATGTGAATACAATTTTCAATAATGTCTTCAAAAACATACCCAGTAGAACATACTAAATTCACTGCCTTGTATCTTGTGCATTAATGCTGAAAGTAAATGTGGCAATTTTCAGTGGCTTGGAGTCCCAAATAGTGTATCCATCATCCCTCTGTGGTCTCTGTCATCTTTTCTTGAGGTCTTTTTAAAAACACGTCTCAAAATTGTGTATGCTCCACCTGATATGAAAAGTGTTCTGAGACTGGTCTCTGGAAAGACCGCATGAATCTGTACAGATCCTCCATCAGTTATGTTGACTGGAGAACAGCAGCAGCAAATAACCATATATACTTGGCTATGCTATGGGCATGGTGAGAGCAAGTCTTCCTACATTCTGGAACTGTGATAGGTTAGTTATGTCTCTGGGAGTAGCTATTTTTCCTTGAATTGCTAATCTCCTGGTAAGCGGTATTTATTTTTATGTGTTTGAGCAGTTCTTACCAGATGGAGTGATCTCTGGTGCTTCAGTGCCAAAGACATCAGGTTAAGGACAGTTTTGAATAGGGGAGAAAAGCTGCTCAGGCAAGACTAACCTCCTGTGGTTAAGCCAATGCTCATGGATATTGCAGGGTATTTTATTTTTTTTTAAGTAATGGTGGCAATAAAACGCTGAGCATACTCTGTCATCTGAACAGTGTATTGGTAGCTGGGCTCTGAGATGCTTAACTGCAGAGTGCTGCTTTGGAGCATGTAAAGCTGCTGAGTATGGCAGCATAGATATTCCTCAGAGCCTAATTTCCTTGCTCACTGGTACATAAGGACAAACTTGTTCAGGAAGTTCTAGGCCACAGGCAGATTTTTTTTTTTTTTTTTTTTTTCCTCAGGATAGAGTATACTTAAGATTCCAGATAGTTCAGACTGAATCAGTCAGCTTTATCAGCTGCTTTCTGGTGATACCACCCCCTTCATTCTCCTGAGGAAGGTGTACTGCTAGGATATTTCTGCTGTCTTTAGAAAGCTTTAAGTGCATTAGGTTCCAAACAGAGGCCTTGTCATGTCTAGGTGTCACTGCTGCTCATTTCCATTCTGTTGTGGAATTACTGGTTGTCTGGAGAGGACCTTGCAGAGATGAGATACAGACACAGGTGTGAAAGCTCTGCAGGCAGTAAAGAACTCCACGATTCTGCACCCAGCTGCTTCTTCCTCTGTCTGCTGAAAACTCAGGCCTGTAAGTTTGGATGCTGCTTTGGTGTTGGCAGCTATACTCCCATCTTTGCTGAAGTAAATCTCTCAATGCTGCTGAGTGAGATATTTCTTTCTAAGCAAGAGACATTTTTGTGGAAGAATACTTTCCTCAGGATTTGTACCCTCTGAAGGCAAGTGTTGGTTCAGCTTGCTTTCTCAAGCATAGTTATTAGAGATGGGGAGAGCCCCGTGAGAATGAGAAGAAATGACTGTATCAAACCTGGTCTTGCCTTGCTTTCTGAACCAGTGCAAATGTGTGTATGAGTATAGTCCCTACATTTTAGGAAGGAGAGAAAAAGAGTGATTTTTTTTTTTTTTTTTTGTGGGAGTAACTGAACAGATGACTAGAAAAATCTGATTTCAAGATAGGGAGCTTAAAATCCAATGTAGCTATGTGAGGGCTGACTCACATCTACTGAGGAATCTCCAAATTTAAATTCATCAGTACCTCAGTGATCCATTTGCTGTGGAAGACTAGCTTCCTCAATGCAAGTGCTTAAATGTTAATTTGTGTACTGGTTTTGGCTGGGCCAGAGTTAATTTTTTTCATAACAGTTTCTGTGGTGCTATGTTTTTTGGATCTGTGGTGAAGAGAGTGTTGATAGTGCACCCATGTCTTGGTTATTGCTGAGCAATGCTTGCACAAAGTCAGTGGTTTTGTCGCTTCTCTTACCACCCTACTGAGAGGGGATGCACAAGAAGTTGGGAGGTGACACCACGGGGACAGGTGATCCCAACTGACCAGAGATATATCACATACCATATGATGTCATGCTCAGCAGTAAAAGCTGGGGGAAGGAGGAGTAAGTTCAGAGTTAGGGCATTTTTCTTCCCAAGAAACCATTTTGGATGATGGAGCCCTGCAGTCCTGGCGATGGCTGAACACCTGCCTGCCAATGGGAAGTGGTGAATGAATCCTTTGGTTTGTTCTGCTGTGTGGCTTTTGCTTTACCTATTAACCTGGCTTTATCTCAACCCACGAGTTGTCTCAATTCTACCTTTCCATTTCTCTTTCCCATCCGTGCGAGCGACTGTGTGGGACCTGGCTGCCTACCGGGGTTAAACCGTGACATTTAGTAACGACTCTGCTGGAGTTCATTAAAATGCTGCAGTGTTAGTAGCAGTACTCAGGGAAAGGATCCAGGATAAACTTCTCGGATAACTTGCTTTAGAGTCAGACACTGCAAAGGGCAGTTAACTTTGTTGTATTACATTGCTTATTTCTCTCTACTTTCTCTAGTTGTCCTCTGAGGAGAGTAACTGTGGATTTTGTGTTTCTAACTTGAGAATATCCTGGCAAGGGAACTTTACAGGGAGGAAAAAAAAACTCACTTGTTGATGTCTGTCTTTTTGGGAACAGTAGTCTTACCCCATAACTTGTGAAATGGATTGTGCTTACTCAGTGGGGACATTGCTGGCAGCTTGCCACAGGTGGTTTTTTATGTCATTGGATGATGGATAAACATAGAAAAACTAAAATTTGGACTTCATAAGTAAAGCTTGCTGCACAAGTATCTCTTCGGGCTTACATCTTGTCATAGATCTTTCATAAGGTCACCAATTACTGAAGAGATCGGGCACGAAAGTAGAGGGAGCGATCATGTATAAACTAGTAAGAGCTCAAAAAAAGTCTAAAACATTCTCCCTCATAGTCATTTATATGATAATTGAAGTATATCACCCAGGTACATGTGGAGATAAAGTTTGTCCATCAAAGACTTGTGGTTCAAAGATTTCCCAGCTCAATGAAGGTGATTTTTTTTTTCAGCTGTGAAGGGAGATAACTTATTGAAGAGTTCTGTGATGATAGTAAGTTCTTCTGTTAACCTGCAGTAGGAGCCATTCTTCTTATAACAATGCAAGTCCTTTTCTCTTGGCAAAATTATTTTATTAAGAATCTGCACTGATTTGCTTCTATAGTGTCCATGCACTGTATATTAGATTTGAAATTAGAGTTTAGATAACATGTTCTTCTCCAGATCTCTGTTTCCCCTCCTCCCCCCACCCTCCATTATCTGCTTGGCAGTGTAGAATTCATGACACTGGGGGTGTTGGTTTGCAATAGATAAAAACTTTCATAATATTACTTCATATTCTACTATAATACATAATTTCAAGTGATTTGAAATATGCATGCATCTATATGAAGATGATAGTTTTGTTGATGAGTAGATTATTTGCATATATTTCATTTCTTTAATCAAATGATGCTTGCATTTGAATAGCTAGTAGCAGATTGCTCGTGTCATCGGAAAGGGGCCCATAAGAGGAAGAGGCGTATAAGAATGCTGCTAATTCTGTAGAAATAATTGGGTTACCATGTGTTTCTGCTGCTGTCTACTAGTTTTTCTATGTGATTAAGTAGTTGTAGCTTACTGGTTTTAATGAGTGATCCAACTGCAGTGCCTCTGTGCCAGAGGAGACCTGCATTTTGCGCAGCCTTCAGACTTGTGTAGGAAGATACTTGTTTTAAAAGAAATTTAGAAAATTAATGTGTTTAGTCTGTAAAGGTACTGAATTAATTTGTTGCCAAAATGTAGTCAAATGGAAGATTTTAAATGTAACCTTGCTGGTGAACTCTGGGGTTTTAAAGCTGCTTTTCTGACTCAAGTTTAGGGCTTCAGTATGGTATTTTCAGCTGTACCCATGAGAGAGAGGGACTACTGAGGACAGGCTTCCATGGAATATGAGGGAGGTTATTTTGTATCACTTAGCTGCTGGGGTTTTAGTTTTAAAATACCGTATTTCTTTCTGGTTTAAAAAAGTTTTCTTGCCCCACAGTGTTCATAAGGAAAGTACTGAAACGACTCTACCCTGAAACTTCATCCTCTTTTGCACATACCTCAAGTAGAGGAGAGGAGGTGGTTCTTGGAAATCTGGGCTCAAAATCCAAAGAGAAGAATTCGGATAATGTTCAGACTTCATCAGCAGATGCTAGCACATCAACCGACACACCCTGCGAGTCATTGCAAGGTGAGACTGCAGTCATTTTTCTGATATTATGTTTTTAAATATGGTTACTTCATTTGAGAACAGTACAGTATCTACTTTTTTAATCTGTTGATGCCACCAGACAAATATGAATACAAGTGCTAGTGGTACTTAATACCCAGAACACTTGAAGTTGGTGCATAAGTCCCTGTGAAAGCCAAGGAACAGCCTTGATGTATGTGCATGAATGCAGCACTTAGCAGTAGCTAGTATGAAACTTCAATCTAAGTTGTAACTATCTGTGGTGTAATGTCTGAACAGTGTGGGAATGACTTACACTGCTGCAGCCCTGCACAGCTATTTGTGTACAACCAAATATTGGTGGGAATACATGATCTGGCAGTGTCTCCTGCTCTCATGTTGCGACAGAAACCCCACAGGGAGTGTAAACCCAGTGCAAGGCAAATATCAATTCAGGTTGCTTTGTTAGTACCTTGGTAAACAGCATTATTTTTTGTCTGTTTATGTGATAAAAGTGGCATGTGAACATTTTGACAGTAAGTAAAAGCACATTTTCTAATGGGTTATGCAATGTGGATGCTATGCCAAAAAATGAAGGAGCTCTAACCTTCATCACTAGGTCAAGGAGGTTCTCCTCCCACTGTGCTCTGCCCTGGTAAGGCCACAACTCAACTACTTATGGGTTGGCTACAGGGCTTTCTTACATGTGACTGTGGTAGAATCTGCGTTTGAAGGACTATGTGGCTGTTGTACTGTATCGCATTCTGTTACTGTGACAGAGGATTGACTGGAAATCTCAGCTTGTTGCAGTTCCATTTGTTTGGTACCCATTTCGGTTTCCTAGATCAATACTTCTAGTACTTCTTTTAGTCAATAATGAGAGGCACATTTTCAAAAGGCTGACAAAGCTTTAAGCTTATTCTATAAAATATTTGATAGCATTGGGAACTAATTGTCCTTTCAAAAGAGGTAACAGGCTATTTATTAGCTCTTGATGAAGACATGCTAAATAAGCATGACTATGGAGTTCTTTCTTAAGCCAAAAATGCCTTCATCTGTAATGAATCTATACCATTCCCTATAAATTAGGACATGCCCAAATTCCCACTGAAGTGGAAGGTAAGGGGGAGAATTTAGTTGATCTTGTGATGTATAACTCCTCTTATTGTATTAGGAACCAGGTTTAAACAATGATGTTCTTCAAATTAATGAAAAGGAAGCTTATGATCCAGTATCCTAATACAGGTAAATGTATGCTCATGGGAAAGGGAATGTGGAGCAAAAAGAACAGTTCTGTATTTTCACAGCAAACCAACAAAGCTGTTCTTGAAATTAACAGCAAACTGAGCTTGCTTTCTGCTGGAGGTAGTACAGAAAAGATTCTGCCTTGATTGATGTTCTACAAAAGTATACTTAAAGCATTGAGGAGGCTTGCAGTGATAAACTCATAGGAAGAAGAGAAATCATTACCCACCTGTGAAACCAACTGATAACTTAATCATTCTTCTCTGGTTGAGAGTGAATAGTCATTTACAAGCTATAATTTTATTATATTGGACACTGAAAATACGTGGTTAGCAATAGGGCTATAGGATTTGGGGCTATCAACTGTGTGGCCTTAGAAAAGGGAAAACGAAGGCATTCACTAAATTTTTTGATCATATACCATTTTAAGTAACTTCTTTCTGGTAGACCACAGGACATGACAGCAAAACAGCTGATCATTGTAAGCAGTAGTAGTTTAAGATGGACAATAGAAAATGAGAGGGATTTTTTTAGTTGTAGCTACATACTCCTTCCTAGTTTGAAAGTGATTATTTCAGTCCTGTAAAACCTTCTGAAAAATTTCATGTCAATAAGAAGTTAAAGTCTCTTTGAAAAGAAACTGACTTTAAAGTCTTAAGTGTTTTCTAGCATTAAATAACAGCTTTTACTATAGAAATCATCAGTGTTCTGCTTGCCTTTAACTTTCTTTTCAAATTGTGAAAATACCATTGCTGATATGCATGAGCTAACCTCCCCTAGATTCTTATATTTATTGGAATGCAGTTTGCAGCACTGCCTTAAAAGTCTGCAGCTTGAAGCATAATAGGGGCTTATGCCCTTAAAATTTAAAGGTCATGCTTTTATATCCCATAAATATTTGCATTTAGATGCCTCTTTTGAGATCAAGTTGATGTTGAGATGCTTAAGTATATATAATATCAGGATCCATGTTAATGACTAGTTCTCATGTAGTTTTTGGAAGGTCAATAATTTGGTATCAGAATGCGTTGTCTCACAAAGCTCCCCACATAGTTCTGTAACTAAAACTTAAAATAAGTGAGAGATTGAAGCAAAGTTTTGAGGGATGCTGTCCTTTGTGACTATAGAGTGATCTTCAGAATGGTATTTGTATTTTCTGTAGGAAGGTGGTAATCGTTAGGGACAGAGAAGAAATTTGAGATGCCACACTTATTCTGAACCCCAAAGGAGGTGGGTAGTTACTGTATATCATACTGTATCTATTGAAAAGATTTTTTTTTTTTTTGTAATAGTGAGTTTAAAAAAAAAAAAGGAAAGAAAAAACACCAAAAAAACACGTCCAACAAACCAAACCATCTCCCTGTGCCCAAAATTTCTCTTCAAGGTCATAGTAAGGTGTACTTTCCCTTTGGATGTTAGTTGTCCTAAATCGGACTTTTTTTTTTTTTCCCTTATTCTACCAAAATACTCAGTGAGAAAATGAATGTAACCAAAATGGAGTTTTACTCCCCTCTCAGGACAATTAGATAACACTTTCTAAACATTATCCCCCTTTTGGAACGTGATTTTCCATTGCAAGAGTTATAGGTTTTAATTTGAGAAGGTGTAATAAGTGTTTTGTACTGCTTCCACATAAAATGAAAGAGGTGCCAGACAACCAGCTTTGTGCTGGAGTGGGTCCAGAGGAGGTCAGTGAAGCTGGTGAAGGGTCTGGAGAGCAGCTGGGGGAACTGGGGTTGCTTAGTTCTGGAGAAGAGGAGGCTGAGGAGAGATCTTACTGCTCTCTACAACAGCCTGAAAGGGGGTTGTAGTGAGGTGGGTGTTGGTCTCCTCTCTGAGATTACTAGCAATAGGACAAGAGGAGATTGCCCCAAGTTGCACCAGGAGAGATTTCGATTGGATATTAGGAAGAATTTCTTCACTGAGAGAGTGGTCAGGCTCTGGAACAGGCTGTCCAGGGAGGTGGTGGAGTCATCATCCCTGGAGGGGTTCAAAAAATGTGTAGATGTGGCACCTGGGGACGTGGTTTAATGATCATGGCAGTATTGGGTGAGGGTTGGACTTGGTGATCTTAGAGGTCTTTTCCAACCTTAATGATTCTCTGAAACCATTTAAAAGTTACACATACGTGTAACGATCCTGAGCTGTCATGGCAGGTAAAGAACTAAACAGAACAAGTGGAAAATTGGAAGAATTTTCCCTAACTTTGTGAATATGTGCAGTATTATAAATGCTTAAAAACTTGCTGTACCACAAAAAAAAAATGTGAGAAAAGACTGAGAAAGCATTTCTGTTTTACAAATTACTCACCTGGATATGGACTTCGGCTAAATTTTTTTCTAAGAATTGATTTTCTTTGTTTCTGAACCTTGTTAGGGCAGGATCTACTTGCAACAAGGATTAATTTCATGGGGAATGGCTGCAAAAAGGCTCAGGCCTTTTTCTTGGTCAGAATTACAACCACTTTTAAAAGGGACTTGGAATTTACTGATCAATGTATAGCATCTTTCTCATAAAAAATCAAAATTAAAGAGCTGCTGAAGAAGGATAACTGTGTACAAGTGAAATGCACAGTATTCCATTTTTCCTCTGTGAAGCATGCTGTTTCACTTCTGGTTTTTGTGTTTTCCCTGATTCTGAAAAAGGAAATTGAAATGCAAGAGAGACTAGGCAGAGTCATAGATCTTGTGGAAACAACCTAGTTTATTTAAGTAAATTTATTTAAGTAAAAGGTAACAAAATAAAATACTAAGCTCTATTACTTCTAAGTTTTAGGGGTTTTAAAAATAGGGAATCCATATTTGCTATGTAAGTAGACAAAATGCAATTTACTCCATATTCATTAAATAACTTAAATGTCTTATCAACTGAAATATCTGAGCATTGTTATCCTGTATAAGGAATGCCTGTCAGAATTCACTACAGCTGTGTGGTTTGGGGTTTTCTGTATGTTCTACTTACTTTTTCCACTGAAGTTATTAATGCTGACAGTATATTGCATTTAAGAAATCAACACTGGGGCATATGAACTATATCCTTACTCATCCTAATCCTGCCTTCCTGCAGCCCTTGTATTATAGAAAAATCAGATTTGTGACAGAAGTGCCTAGAAGAAAACACTTGTTTAGAAAACATGCATGGACAGCTCTGGCTTTTAGTTGATCTAAGTGATGAAGTGCATATGCTTGTGAAGTTAAACTCTAGTGGTACCCAATGCAGTAAACAGCTTTAGAGACTTGTTAAACAATTCAGCTTCATTTTAGTTAATTAGTCTGAAAAGCTGTCTATTGTGAATAAGCTAAAGAGCAATGGAGACTATAATTATGATACAACAAAGTGTTGTCACACACTCTGCTCTTCTCCCAAGGGTTTAAAAATTCTCTCATTACATGCTATGTTACAGTGACATTAGACTATGAAAATGGGACAGATATATCCAAAAGTGAGTAGAGTATTTGACTTTAGAAACCAGCTTCAGGTGGCTTTGGTAGTAATGATGCCCAGCCAGATTTACAGGGGGGGACAATGACACAACATCATACCACCACCACAAAAAAAAAAAAAAAAAAAACACAACCGTGAACAAAAGTCATGCAACACACAAAAAACTACCAACACACACCCCTCCCCCCCAAAAAAAAACTGCTCAGACTGAGTGAGCTGCATGTATAGTATCTGTAAATTCTGTTGTGACAGAAACAACTTTGTAGTTCAGTCTCCAGTTCCCCTAGCAATGCCTTTTTTTTTTTTTTTTTTTTTTTTTTTTTTTGATGCTG